TATATTTACCTGTGTGACATGTACACTATATTTACCTGTGTGACCTGAACACTATAGTTACCTGTGTGACCTGTACACTATATTTACCTGTGTGACATGTACACTATATTTACCTGTGTCACCTGTACACTATATTTACCTGTGTCACCCGTACACTATATTTACCTGTGTCAGCTGTACACTATATTTACCTGTGTCACCTGTACACTTTATTTACCTGTGTGACCTGTACACTATATTAACCTGTTTGACCTGTACACTATATTTACATGTGTGACATGTACACTATATTTATCTGTGGCATCTGTACACTATATTTATCTGTGTGACCTGTACACTATATTTACCTGTTTGACCTGTACACTATATTTACATATGTGACATGTACACTATATTTACCTGTGTGGCCTGTACACTATATTTACCTGTTTGACCTGTACACTATATTTACCTATGTGACCTGTACACTATATTTACATGTGTTACCTGCACACTATATTTATCTGTGTCATCTGTACACTATATTTACCTGTGTGGCCTGTACACTATATTTACCTGTTTGACCTGTACACTATATTTACATGTGTGACCTGTACACTATATTTATCTGTGTCACCTGTACTATATATTTATCTGTATTACCTGTACACTTTATTTACCTGTGTGACCTGAACACTATATTTACCTGTGACCTATACACTTTATTTACCTGTGTGACCTGTACACTATATTTACCTGTGTGACCTATACACTTTACTTACCTGTGTGACCTGTACACTATATTTACCTGTGTCACCTGTACACTATATTTACCTGTGTCACCTGTACACTATATTTACCTATGTGACCTGTACACTATATTTATCTGTGTCACCTGTTCACTATATTTACCTGTGTGACCTATACACTATATTTACATGTGTGATTTGTACACTATATTTACATGTGTGACCTGTACACTATATTTACCTGTGTGACCTGTACACTATATTTACCTGTGTGACCTGTACACTATATTTACCTGTGTGACCTGTACACTATATTTACCTGTGTGACCTGTACACTATATTTACCTGTGTGACCTGTACACTATATTTACCTGTGTGACCTGTACACTATATTTACCTGTGTGACCTGTACACTATATTTACCTGTGTGACCTGTACACTATATTTACCTGTGTGACCTGTACACTATATTTACCTGTGTGACCTGTACACTATATTTACATGTGTGACTTGTAGACTATATTTACCTGTGTGACCTGTACACTATGTTTACCTGTGTGACCTGTACACTATATTTACCTGTGTCACCTGTACACTATATTTACATGTGTGACCTGTACATTATATGTATCTGTGTCACCTGTACACTATAGTTATCTGTATCACATGTACACTGCATTTACCTGTGTGACATGTACACTATATTTACCTGTGTCACCTGTACACTATATTTACATGTGTGACCTGTACACTATATTTATCTGTGTCACCTGTACACTATAGTTATCTGTATCACATGTACACTGCATTTACCTGTGTGACATGTACACTATATTTACCTGTGTGACCTGTACACTATATTTACCTGTGTCACCTGTACACTATATGTATCAGTATCACTTGTACACTATATTTATCTGTGTCACCTGTACACTATATTTACATGTGTGACCTGTACACTATATTTTTCTGTGTGACCTGTACACTATATTTACATGTGTGACCTGTACACTCTAGTTATCTGTATCACATGTACACTGCATTTACCTGTGTGACATGTATACTATATTTTTCAGTATCACATGTACACTATATTTACATGTGTGACCTGTACACTTTATTTATCTGTGTGACCTGTACACTATATTTATCTGTCACCTGTACACTATAGTTATCTGTATCACATGTACACTGCATTTACCTGTGTGACATGTACACTATATTTTTCAGTATCACCTGTACACTGTATTTACCTGTATGACCTCTACACTTCATTGTGTGACATGTACACCGTATTTACCTGTATGACCTCTACACTTCACTGTATGACCTTACCTATCTTGTATCTATTTCACTTTTAGATTGTTGGACAAAGAAGAAAGTGGAGGAATGGCCCTTGTCACTTACACAGCCCCCTCAGGTTTCTCAACAGACATTGAACGTGTAACTGGAGTAGCACGCAAGGAAACTAATGGCAAAACTGTGACCCTCTACATCAACAATCTCCAGGTATCTGCTCAGCATCACTTAGTCTAATGTTTGCCTGCCTGCAATCACTTTTAGCTCAACTAGCAGGAAGTGCCAGTGAGCTTATGGTATGGTGCAGCGTCCATCGTCTGCCAACCTCTTTCTTTGAAGACCTTCACCTTCAATACTGAAAGACCAATGGTCCTGATATTTAGCTAGTCAGGTTTATCAAATAAATGACCTTGATCTATGTTCAAGGTCACAGGGGTCAAATAGGTCAAAATACCTTTAAACAACCTCTTCTGAATAACTAGAATGCTGAGGGTGTTATTGGACAAGTAGTATGCTTGGATATGAAGTGCAACAAAGTTTCCTCAAATTACTGGCCTGAATCTTCTGTCAATTAAGGTTACCGGGTTCAAAAATGGAGAATAGATATTGAAACAGCTTCTTCTGAATAACCAAGAGTGCCAGGGTGATGGTATTTTTCCAGACACATGTTGGCCTGCAGTGCTATGTAATATTGTTTAAAAAGATAACCTTGACCTTCTTTTAAAGACACAAGGATCATATGTGTTATAAACCTTTAAAAACTTTTTGAATAACCAAGAGGTTACTCTGAATTACTTTGAAGGCTATATGCATTAAATACTTTTAAAAAAAATCTGCAAACAATTTCAGAATAACATGATCAAATTTGATAAGTATCATGCTTGGATAGAGTTCTTAATAGAGTTCAACAAATATCTGATCTTGAACTTCATTCGAGGCACAAAGTTCATATGTATTAGAAAAATCTAAAAAAGTTCTTCTGAATAACCAAAAGGCCTAGAGAAATAATGTTTGGCCAGTAGCATGTTGCTTTGCAGTATCACTTTAATTAAAATGTCTTTTCCTGATTGCTTAAATATCCAGGTAAGCGATACAGGTCCTCTGGGCCTCTTGTATCTCACCTCGCTGTGTACCTGTGAACTTAAATTGCAATGTCCCTCCTCATTCCCTTCTATCAGTCAAATGTTGTTTGAAGAGCTTTCTTGAAATCTGAAAGAAAAAGGTTACTGTGTTCTGATCATTGACTGATAGGTACTTTTGGATGGAGTATTATAAAATGTTCTCATATATATGACCTTGACCTATTTTCAAGGTCACAGTGGTCAAAAATGTTCAAAAACGGTTTTAGACCCCCAATAACTCTAACATCAATTAAGTCCAACAAATTAAAAGCGATAGATACAAGTTGCTATAATTAGCTCACCTGGCACAAAGTGCCAAGCGAGCTTATGCCATGGCGCGGCGTCCGTCGTCCGTCCGGCGTCAATATTTTACTTTAAACGACTTCTTCTTCATAACCGAAAGGCCTAGGGTGTTAATATTTGGCCAGAAGCAAACTTGGATGAAGGGCTACAAAGGTTTGTTAAAATTAATGACCTTCATCTATTTTCAAGGTCACAGGGGTCAAATATGTCAAAAACTTTAAACATCTTCTTCTCAATAACCAAAATGCCCAGGGAGATGATATTTGGCGAGTAGCATGCTTTGGTTAAGGGCTACCAATTTTGGTTAAATGAATGACCTTCAATTATATTCAAGGCCACAGTGGTCAATTGTATTAAAAAAACTTTAAACAACTTCTTCTGAATAACCAAAATGCCCTGGGTGATGATATTTGGCCAGTAGCAAGCTGAGATGAAGGGCTACAAAGGTTTGTTCAAATGAATGACCTTCACCCATATTCAAGGTCACAGGGGTCAAATATGTTAAAAACTTTAAACAACTTCTTCTTATTAACCAAAATGCCCAGGGTGATGATATTTGGCCAGTAGCTAGCTGAGATGAAGGGCTACAAAGTTTGTTCAAATGCATGACCTTCACCTATATTCAAGGTCACAGGAGTCAAATATGTGAAACATTAAACAACTTCTGAATAACCAAAATGCCCAGGGTGATGTTATTTGTCCAGTAGCATTCTGGGGTAAAGGGCTATCAAGTTTGTTCAAATGAATGACCTTCACCTATATCAAGGTCACAGGGGTCAAATATGTGAAATACATTAAACAACTTCTTCTGAATAACCAAAATGCCCAGGGTGATGATATTTAGTCAGTAGCATACTAGGATCAAGGGCTACCAAGTTTGTTTAAATGGATGACCTTGAATCATATTCAAGGTCACAAGGAGCAAATATGTTCAAAATATTGAAACAACTTGTTCTGAATAACCAAAAGGCTCAGGATGTTGATATTTAGTCAGTAGCATGCTCGGATCAAGGACTACTATGTTTGTTAAAGTGAATGACTTTGACTTATATTCAAGGTCANTGCAGGCCCATTGGGCCTCTTCTATTCAAGGTCACAAGGGTGTGATATGTTTAAAATCTTTAAATAACTTTTTTCTGAATAACCATGAGGCCTAGGGTGATGGTGCAAGTTTGTTTAAATGAATCACCTTCACCTATTTACAAGGTCACAAGGGTCAAATATTTTGAAATCTTAAAAACAACTTCTGAATAATGTAAAGGTCTAGGGAAATGATATTTGGCCAGCAGCATGCTGGTATGAAAGGCTATAAAGTCTGTTCAACTTAATGTTCTTGTTTTACTTTCAAGGTCACATGTGTCACATGTTTAAATCTTTCAATAGATTTTTTTTTAATCAAACCCTGGTATTTTGCCTGTAGCTTTATTTTAGCCAACTTTTAAGATAACAAGTGTAAGATTAATACCAGGTGAGCGATTCAGGCCCATTAGGCCTCTTTTCTCATAATTGTTGTAAAATAAAAATAAAAATAAAAATAAATTCTGCCCAAGAGTTACATTTTACCATAAACTTTCCAGTTGATAATGAATATGTCAGTAAATTTGAAGTGAAGTAGTTCCATTTGCAAATTGATTTGGAATTCTTTTGTAAATATTGGGGTCAAATCCAGCATAAAATATGACAAAGGTTCATCCTATTACTGACCTTGACCTACTTTGAAGGTCAAAGTGGTACATTGGTCATACCTTTCCAATTGTTGAGATCGGCCGACCTCCTCCTATAAACATGTCATCATACATTATAATTATAAACATGTCATCATACATTATAATTATAAACATGTCATCATACATTATAATTATAAACATGTCATCATACATTATAATTATAAACATGTCATCATACATTATAATTATAAACATGTCATCATACATTATAATTATAAACATGTCATCATACATTATAATTATAAACATGTCATCATACATTATAATTATAAACATGTCATCATACATTATAATTATAAACATGTCATCATACATTATAATTATAAACATGTCATCATACATTATAATTATAAACATGTCATCATACATTATAATTATAAACATGTCATCATACATTATAATTATAAACATGTCATCATACATTATAATTATAAACATGTCATCATACATTAGCAATCATGTTTGGTTCCAAGGGGAACATGGAAAAGATTGAAACCCCAGCTTTATAGTGATATACACATTACAAAAGGTTATGAATATCATACAAATTTGCCATAAAACATCTTTGGTTCACGGGACAAATTAACCTTCAGATTCAGCAAAGATGTTGTCTCTCTCGTTGCTGAGCTCAAAGTGAGGAAATATTTGTAATATTGCTTTTAATGAAATATTTTGCCATGTTTGCTTTGATTGTAATTCAAATAAACTTGTATATAGATGGTCTTATCTTAGTTTTAACCAAATATTGTTATTATTACAATTATTTCACAGTAAAAGATGGTCGCCTGCAGCTGTTCTCTGATTGGTTGAGACATTTTCTTGTTGACCTCCACTAGGACTATGCTGACTAGGCTTAGGAATAATACTCTCATGGTCATCAACAGTTGCTGTTGCTTTTTGTGGTTTATAAAAAATGAAAAATGAAAATTGGCCCCCTCTGCATGTTCTAGGCTTCAATTTTAACCACATTTTAACCAGACATCATACAGTGTTATGTTATTGCAGCCAAGATTTATTTTACTTGTCTTGGAAGGATTGCTATAAGTTTTCTTCAAATAAATTACCTTGATCTACTTTCATATAAATAAAAGCCTTTAAACAACTTCTTCTGAATAACTAAGAAACCAGGGCCATGATATTTGACCAGTAGTATATATGCTAGGATAGAGTAATATATTGAAGTTTCATGAGTCTGGAACACTCTTAAGCTAAGGAGACTCAATATATGGAAATATTTGCAAAATTACTTTTATTAAGGCTATTTTCCCCATGATTGCTCAAATATCCAAGTGAGCAATACAGGCTCTCTGTGCCTCTTATTCTTAGTTCTATGTGTCAATGAAAATTGTGAGATGGCTGCCGTGATATCAAGATCGAACGAGTAGTTTAATATTCCAACTTACTATTTAGTTTAAATAACAAAAACAGACGGTTCCATTACATACACAGGTAATTGGTTTGTTGTTTTGATATTCCAAAACTTTCGTCAGATTATTATTGATGTGTGAGAGATATATTTAGGTTGGTATTACAGGTCTACATTTTATTGCAGTTTGATATTAATTCAAATATATGTTGTTGTTCTTTGAATAACTGTTGAACTGTGAGGTAAAGAAGTTGGGATATTTCTAATAACAGATGGACCGGAAACAGCTGCGTCTCCAGTCCTTCCGAACCCAGGATGTAGCGGATGTCAAGAACGGAGTAGTCTCCGTTGAAATGTACTACAATCCAGGTATGACACAAACATTAGGGACTGTTAGGTGTTCTGGCCTATACAAACAAAGTGTAGGGACTGTTAGGTGTTCTGGCCTATACATACAACGTTTAGGGACTGTTAGATGTTCTGGCCTATACATACAAAGTTTAGGGACTGTTAGGCGTTCTGGCCTATACATACAAACATTAGGGACTGTTAGGTGTTCTGGCCTATACATACAAAGTTTAGGGACTATTAGGTGTTCTGGCCCATACATACACAGTTTAGAGACTGTTAGGTGTTCTGGCCTATACATACAAAGTTTAGGGACTGTTAGGGGTTCTGGCCTATACATACAAAGTTTAGGGACTGTTAGGTGTTCTGACCAATACATATAAAGTTTAGGGACTGTTAGGTGTTCTGGCCTATACATACAAAGTTTAGGGACTGTTAGGTGTTCTGGCCTATACATACACAGTTTAGGGACTGTTAGGTGTTCTGGCCTATACATACAAACATTAGGGACTGTTAGGTATTCTGGCCTATACATACAAAGTTTAGTGACTGTAAGGTGTTCTAGCCTATACATACAAAGTTTAGGGACTGTTAGGTGTTCTTGCCTATACATACAAACATTAGGGACTGTTAGCTATTCTGGCCTATACATACAAAGTTTAGTGACTGTAAGGTGTTCTAGCCTATACATAAAAAGTTTAGGGACTGTTAGGTGTTCTGGCCTTTACATACAAAGTTTAGTGACTGTTAGGTGTTTTGGCCTATACATACAAAGTTTAGTGACTGTTAGGTGTTCTGGACTAAACATACAAAGTTTAGGGACTGTTAGGTGTTCTAGCCTATACATACAAAGTTTAGGGACTGTTAGATGTTCTGGCCTATACATACACAGTTTAGGGACTGTTAGGTGTTCTGGCCTATGCCTACAAAGTTTAGGGACTGTTAGGTGTTCTGGCTTATACATACAAAGTTTAGGGACTGTAAGGTGTTCTAGCCTATACATACAAAGTTTAGGGACTCAAAGTTTAGGGACTGTTAGGTGTTCTGGCCTATACATATAAACATTAGGGACTGTTAGGTATTCTGGCCTATACATACAAAGTTTAGCGACTGTTAGATGTTCTGGCCTATACATACAAACATTAGGGACTGTTCGGTATTCTGGCCTATACATACAAAGTTTAGTGACTGTAAGGTGTTCTGGCCTATACCTACAAAGTTTAGGGACTGTTAGGTGTTCTGGCTTATACATACAAAGTTTAGGGACTGTAAGGTGTTCTAGCCTATACATACAAAGTTTAGGGACTCAAAGTTTAGGGACTGTTAGGTGTTCTGGCCTAGACATACAAAGTTTAGGGACTGTTAGGTGTTCTGGCCTTTACATACAAAGTTTAGTGACTGTTAGGTGTTTTGGCCTATACATACAAAGTTTAGTGACTGTTAGGTGTTTTGGCCTATACATACAAAGTTTAGTGACTGTTAGGTGTTTTGGCCTATACATACAAAGTTTAGTGACTGTTAGGTGTTCTGGCCTATACATACAAAGTTTAGGGACTGTTAGGTGTTCTGGCCTAAACATACAAAGTTAAGGGACTGTTAGGTGTTCTAGCCTATCCATACAAAGTTTAGGGACTGTTAGGTGTTCTGGCCTATACATACAAAGTTTAGGGACTGTTAGGTGTTCTGGCCTATACATACAAAGTTTAGGGACTGTTAGGTGTTCTAGCCTATGCATACAAAGTTTAGGGACTGTTAGGTGTTCTAGTCTATACATACAAAGTTTAGGGACTGTTAGATGTTCTAGCCTATACATACAAAGTTTAGGGACTGTTAGATGTTCTAGCCTGAAGTTGCTATCAACCCCATATGTTTTCTGTTTTTCTGTTCAGTCGCAAGCAAGACTGTGACCTATGACCTCCCGGATGCAGTGAAATTGACGGCCTGTCAGTTAAGCGGGGACATGGATGACGCATGTCCTAAACCCCGGAATCCTAATGGTGCCTCGTCTGCCACACCCACCAAGCTTCTACTCACCATCGTCTCAACTCTCATGTTGATGACTAACTTGAACTAGAGTTACCTCCCCAGAGCTCCTCAACATGACACAAATTTTAACAAGAATGACATAAAAAATTATCTATGACAGTTTAATTAAAGACTTCCAAGCAATGAGTCTCACTTCTACAAAAGGAATTCAACTTGATCTTATTTAACAGGTACCATGTTATTTTAAAATCTGATTTGTTCTGCATTTTGGAGCTTATTTATTACTTGTACATTGTATCATGATCAGAATTTAGAAAATTTGCTATTTTATTGATTTGCATGTAATTGCTATCTTATCGATTTGCTTGTAAGTAGAGAAGACTGAGAGAGCAGGGAGCTAACAGGGGGAAAGCTGATCTTCCCGGGGAATGGTTAGGAATCTATGTAGTTGTGAAGTTAGTTGCTACTATTGAATTCTTTAGCCTCTAAATGAGGTCAAACTTGGGAGTAGGGCTAGGGTGGGGGTTGGGTGTGTGGCCGTGGGGAGTCTCTATAGGGTTATATTTGGGTTAGGGTTAGGGCTAGGGTGGGGGTTGGGTGTGTGGCCGTGGGGAGTCTCTATAGGGATATATTATGGTTAGGGTTAGGGCTAGGGTGGGGGGTGGGGGTGTGGCCGTGGGGAGTCTCTATAGGGTTATATTCGGGTTAGGGTTAGGGCTAGGGTGGGGGTTGGGTGGGTGGCCGTGGGGAGTCTCTATAGGGTTATATTCGGGTTAGGGTTAGGGCTAGGGTGGGGGTTGGCTGTGTGGCCGTGGGGAGTCTCTATAGGGTTATATTATGGTTAGGGTTAGGGCTAGGGTGGGGGGTGGGGGTGTGGCCGTGGGGAGTCTCTATAGGGTTATATTTGGGTTAGGGTTAGGGCTAGGGTGGGGGTTGGGTGGGTGGCCGTGGGGAGTCTCTATAGGGTTATATTCGGGTTAGGGTTAGGGCTAGGGTGGGGGTTGGCTGTGTGGCCGTGGGGAGTCTATAGGGTTATATTTGGGTTAGGGCTAGGGCTAGGGTTAGGGCTAGGGCTAGGGTTGGGGGTTGGCTGTGTGGGCTTGGGGAATCTATATAAGGTTTTATTAGGGACTAGATATATTTGCTTATACAAAGGTTTTTAGTAAATATCTATTTGGCTTTCCTTCTGTGTGTATTAAGTTGGCTTTTTAAACTAACATGTAGGTCTCAACAAAAATGGTCACTTAATTAGAAGAGTCCTAATGACAAGGATTAATTGTCCTCATATCAAAGTCCTTTGGCCCAATAAGTGTGACAGAAGGAGGCAAACTTCACCATGGATCATGATAGAAAAACAACGATTTATAAGTTAGCTTTTGACAAATTTTGCCAGAAGAGTTCTTGTGAGCATGGGCTTCAGACCAAAGCGAGCGGGAAGGTTTATGTCTCCTTTATTCTCCTAATCAAAGAATGAAAACTGTTTTAATGAACTCGCTTACAAATTTTACTCATTTTTAATTTGTTTTTGTATCAAGTTTCTTATCAAATTTTCAAAAACCTTTGGGTGTTAAATCATTATGCAAATATTTTGAAATTATTCACATAAAAAGTTAACTTGCAAATATGAATTTAAATTTAGACAGTTTTTCTAAACAATTTTTTTTGACAACTACAGTATATTTTGTTAGTGTGTATTTTATATACAGAAATATGTGTTTGTATTTACATTATCATGGTATTTTTTATTTCTTTTTCCATATTTTTCTTGTTAATTTTTACATTGTAATATGTTAAGTTGGTAGTGTATTTTCCATCTCTTTTTTGCTAAATATATATATTATGCTGTAACTTTGTCAGATGTGTCTATAAACATCTTCCATGATGTGTTTTTCGTTGATAAAAACCTTATTTCATCATTAATGCTATTAAAAAAACAATTATTAAATTCTAGGCAATGCATTAAACTGTGATATCAACTTTAAAGTTCTGATATACAACGGTTACCACCACAACGCCACACTTCCAAACCCTCTATACATCAGTTATATGACTGGCCATACCTCATTTGTCACTTCAGGCATCAAGAGGGACCGAATCAACTGGTTCATTATACAACATGGTAAAAAAGCTGTTGTTTAATTGGTACACCAGGTATTTATCAGAAAAGGCCATTAAAACTGTGAGAAGAGTAAGCTATTAAAGGGTTCAGCAAACTAAACAACAACAAACAAAGTTTTTATAGTCTGTGTGAATATTTAGATAATAATTTGTCTGTTGGAAAATGTCTGATTTTTTACATATTTTTGGATGATTTTTTTAATTCTCCTGTGATACAGTTGATAGAGTGACCACCGACTCCAAACTCCCACTGTCTAGTTTAGATTCTAGGTTCAAATTCCAATCAATGAGTAACAACAGTTTACTGACAGCCTTAAAATCAATTAAACACTTTGCAATTCCAGAACTGATATACAGGGGAAGAAAAAAAAATCAAACTTTTTCCAAACATTTGAGATTTTTTATTATATTACTGATATATATGGTATATATATGTCATAATGTAATTTTATATTGTATATTGATGCTGTAATTTTCATTATAATTATAATCAAAAAACTCATGTCCTTAATTAAACTATACTATGTATAATGTATTGTTGTTACATGCTTTAAATGGTGTTTGTTCAGGGTTCCTTGTTTTAGGTGATCTTCTCTTATTATTACTACAAACATGACAAAACTTGTTTTGAATTTAACTTCATTCCTAATATCTTTTATGTTGAAAAATTGAAAAAAAAACTTAAAAGAGGACATTTTAAGAAATCAATGTGATAATACAGTAAAGGGAAGCTGTTTTTATAGAGTTGATGTGATTTTACAATAAAGAGAGGATTTTAATGGCTGCCCGGTGATTATCTTCAATATTTTTTACATCAGAAAGTCTGCCTTTCAAACATACACCAAGCCATGTCATATTGTTTTATATCATGGAGTGATAGCAATGTGGGCGCCATTTTGTTCTGCCAGACAGAATCTTTTCCTACTTTTGCTGCTGTGGTAATTAAGAGCTATCCTGGACATACCTTTAAACATTGTAGTTTACTTGGGTTTATATAGGTGTATTGTAGTGCAAACATTCATTATTATACTCTCACTTCCACCCAGTCTCAGCAGACATGACACCCTCAATTTTGTAGATTGCTAATTGACGATTATAATGAGTCGATAATTATACTGCATCATTCTTTAGACAAAAAATAAAACTTTTTGGAATAAAAGACAATTGTTTCAGTAAGTTAAGCCAGCTCTTGTAACTTTCGGAGTCACAGGGACAGATGTGCTAAAATCATCAATGGCATCTTCTAAAAGTATATAAAAAAAACACTCTTCTTCTTTGGGAGATCTGGTAGGTCTAGAATAATGGCTTGTAGCTAACTGGGATGAATGGCAATTAAGTTTGTCTAAATGAATTACTCTGACCCACTTCTGCCTTCAGCCATAAGGCATTGTGTTGTGTTGTCCAGGAAATGACACTGACCCACATTAGTAAAATATATTGAGATCAACTGCTAATATTTGGCCTGTAGTGTGAGCTAGCTTGCGATACCTGTTCCTGATGTTCCGAGTAATCAAGACCTGTTCTGCCTCTTGTGATAACCTGGAAGTGTCATTAATCAGAAATGCTTGTTATAGACCTGTGTCATGTTAACCACTTTGAGAGTCAAACAAATAGTTACAGTGACTGAAAAAAAACTACTTTTTAAACATTACATACACTTTAGAGAAAAAATTTAAAAAAATTGGAATGGTCATCAGATTTTATCAACATCAAAATTTCAATTGACATTTCTGCATGAATTTAACAACTGTTTGTATCTGATTTTTGCACTATTTGTAATGTATATCTTCTATAACCATCTCTTGTCGTACAATAAAATTACTGACACATCTATTGTTCCTGTTCTGATTTAAAAACGCAAGTGTGAATAACACAAGATGTCAACTAGTTTCTGAAGTTCATGGTGTCGGTGAAGTTTATTTTAATACCCAATTCATGACCGAATATGAAAGTCATTATGAGTGTTGGCAATCTTGGAGCCAAGACGTTCATAGGGCACTTATTTCAGAAGTAAGAGTAGGCTTGGCCGCTACAGAGGGCACTTATTTCAGAAGTAAGAGTAGGCTTGGTCGCTACAGAGGATACTTACTTCAGAAGTAAGAGTAGGCTACGGCCGCTACAGAGGACACTTACTTAAGAAGTAAGGGTTGGCTTGGATGCTACAGAGGACACTTACTTAAGAAGTAAGAGTAGGCTTGGTCGCTACAGAGGGCACTTACTTCAGAAGTAAGGGTTGGCTTGGACGCTACAGAGGACACTTACTTCAGAAGTAAGGGTAGGCTTGGTCGCTACAGAGGGCACTTACTTCAGAAGTAAGAGTAGACTACGGCCACTACAGAGGGCACTTATTTCAGAAGTAAGAGTAGGCTTGGTCGCTGGAGGACGGCACTTACTTCAGTAGTAAGGGTAGGCTTGGCCGAAACAGAGGACACTTACTTCAGAAGTAAGGGTTGACTTGGCCGCTACAGAGGATGGTACTTACTTCAGTAGTAAGGGTAGGCTTGGCCACAACAGAGGACACTTACTTCAGAAGTGAGGGAAGGCTTGGCCGCTACAGAGGACACTTATTTCAGAAGTAAGGGTATGCTTAGTCGCTACAGAGGACTTACTTCAGAAGTAAGAGTAGACTACGGCCGCTACAGAGGACACTTACTTAAGAAGTAAGAGTAGGCTTGGTCGCTACAGAGGGCACTTACTTCAGAAGTAAGGGTAGGCTTGGCCGCTACAGAGGACACTTATTTCAGAAGTAAGAGTAGACTACGGCCGCAACAGAGGACACTTACTTTAGAAGTAAGGGTAGGATTGGTCGCTACAGAGGACACTTATTTCAGAAGTAAGGGTATGCTTAGTCGCTACAGAGGACTTACTTCAGAAGTAAGAGTAGACTACGGCCTCTTCAGAGGGTACTTATTTCAGAAGTAAGAGTAGGCTTGGCCGCTGCAAAAGACACTTACTTCAGAAGTAAGAGTAGGCTTGGCCGCTACAGAGGACGCTTACTTCAGAAGTAATAGTAGGCTTGGTCGCTATAGAGGACACTTACTTCAGAAGTAAGGGTTGGCTTGGACGCTACAGAGGACACTTACTTTAGAAGTAAGGGTAGGCTTGGCCGCTACAGAGGACACTTACTTCAGAATTTAGAGTAGACTACGGCCGCTACAGAGGACACTTATTTTTAGAAGGAAGAGTAGGCCTGGCCGCTGCAAAAGACACTTACTTCAGAATAAAGAGTTTGCTACGTCCGCAACAGAAGACACTTCAGTAGAAAGAGTGGGTACAACCAATTTAGAGGATGCTTACCTCAGGGTTGAAATAGACAAGTTTTATGGTCGCAATTGTGATTTTTAGGGAACTTTAATTACTGTGTTATATAAAGGTCGATTTTGATACTTCCCTAGCTCTCAATATGAGGACATGACATTACTTTGACTATGCATTTTGTTTTGGACTGTAGGAATAAATGCAGAATATAGAAATACTTTCATTCGTTCAAACTCAAAAAATCTAAATAAAATGTTTTTAAAAAAAAGCTCTTGGTGTTAATTACGTTGGTAAGAACACCCATTGACCTTTTTTTCGATACAACCATAAACTGATATAATTCATCCGCTGAACTTTCAATGAATGCAGACGATGATGATTTGGTAAGGGTCCACTCCGATGTTAAAAATCCCATATGGTCGGCCCGTGCAGCGATTGTTTTCAAAACTGTGTGTTCCAACTTATTATGTTCTGAAAGGTCATAAACCTAACTGTTCAGTTTGATATCGTACTTGTACTTGATGGAATACCTCACCTGATGTGAAATTGAGACATACCCACCTGACGCACCCGAACCTTCGTTAAGTATACTTGGAAGCTTGTCCCCAATTCATTTGATACCCTTTAGCTTGATGACAGTGTCTCAGTTAAACCGTAGTGGAAATACAAAGTACAACACGAGCTGTATCTATATTGGAACAAGTTGTGAAGTTCGGTTCAAAGGTTTTAATAAAAATAGGTGCAAGATTAGAAAAATCTTTAGCCACAGTATGGTTGGCTATGTGAATTGCTCAAACTGAGGGAACTGGTGTTATGACGCTGTGTGTTCAAAAGCTAACGTTTGTAACAAATGTTACAGGCATCAAACACAGTACACTATCTGGATAAATAGGACAGTAATTATACGGATGATCATGTTAATCATTATCATTGTCAGTGTCCAGCTGGTAAAAGTAGGCATGTGTGTACATACAGCAAGTATATTATAGTATTTGGGATACATGTTTCACAACAATACACACTATCCTTGCTTAAAAACACACAAACAATCAAGAAAAGTATGTCCGTAGTTTTTGTCTTGAAGGCGAAATGTCACGAATGTATTTTTTTTACATTTTGCCTTTGTTTGAGACATTGCAAAATCAGAAATTGAACTAAAAATAAATGCGAGTGATGAGTTCGTCCTCTTCCAATAAAAAAGGTGGATATTTTTACTTTCAATTGGGTTTTTTTTGTGCACAGGCTATGCTTATATCTACAAATGCTATTTTACTCTATAGCTATTAGCAGAAAGTCTGATATATGGGTCAATAATTTAGAGTTTTAGAAATGAAAATTTTACCGGTTTCAGAATTTTAAAATACTTTTACCATACAAAGAATATATATGTAGCATAATTTATAAGCAATAACATTTGGTGGACTGACACTATAAAACATAACACGAGGACTGTGGACGTTACGTCACAGAGCCTGGTAATTAAGTACATATTTGGTGGGCTGACACTATAAAACATAACACGAGGACTGTGGACGTTACGTCACAGAGCCTGGTAATTAAGTACATATTTGGTGGGCTGACACTATAAAACATAACACGAGGACTGTGGACGTTACGTCACAGAGCCTGGTGATTAAGTACATATTTGGTATCAAACTGATCAACTAAACCTTAGCAGCAGCATTATAACGGGAAAGATCAGCTTGAGATTAAAATAATGATTGTTCAGGCTCTTGAATGGTATAACTTCATGTTCTGAGCAGCAGTACTTCAAGGAGCTCCAGTTTGGCCAAATCAGGGAGCAGCTGAGACCATCATTTTCATTACTGTCTGCAGTCTAGCAACGTTGTTGTAAAATATAAAAAAAAAATAAAAAAAAAATGACCCCAACTTTACTGTCAGATAAAATTTCTGATGACGCATGGAATGATGCAAAATATTCATTAGGATTGCATGAATACAAAAAACAACAACAAAACTAACAAAACAAGATCACAAGTGGAACTGTCAAATTTTATTTCATTCTAGATGACTACAGTTGTCATAAACTTCTGGTAGAGACATACAATTTACGGTATCCCAAAAGAGAGATAGCCTTATGTTTGGGAAGTTAAAGTGTGGCATATAAAGAAAACACATCAATACTCGTCTTCCTCGTCAATGGTGTTTTCGTTATAGGAATCCGCCCCTACTTCTTCGTAATCCTTTTCCAGTGCTGCCAAGTCCTCGCGAGCTTCATGGAACTCTCCCTCCTCCATACCCTCTCCCACGTACCAGTGGACGAAGGCGCGCTTGGCATACATCAAATCAAACTTGTGATCAAGGCGAGCCCAAGCATCAGCGATGGCTGTAGTATTACTCAACATGCAAACGGCACGTTCTACCTTGGCCAAATCTCCTCCCGGCACCACAGTGGGAGGCTGATAGTTGATGCCCACCTTGAAGCCTGTAGGACACCAGTCGACGAACTGGATCGATCTTCTCGTCTTAATGGAAGCGATGGCGACATTGACGTCCTTTGGTACGACGTCTCCCCTATAGAGGAGACAACAGGCCATGTACCGACCCTGGCGAGGATCACACTTCACCAGCTGGTTAGCTGGCTCAAAACAAGCAGTTGTGATCTCTGCAACTGTGAGCTGTTCATGATAGGCCTTCTCGGCGGAGATGACTGGGGCGTACGTAGCCAGAGGGAAATGGATACGTGGGTAAGGCACAAGATTGGTCTGAAACTCAGTCAGGTCGACGTTCAGGGCACCATCAAAGCGAAGGGAGGCGGTGATGGAGCTGACAATCTGACCTATCAGACGGTTTAGGTTGGTATAGGTTGGGCGGTCAATGTCCAGGTTACGTTTACATATATCGTAGATAGCCTCATTATCGACCATAAAGGCGCAGTCAGTATGTTCCAGTGTTGTGTGTGTGGTCAGGATGGAGTTGTAAGGTTCCACAACCGCCGTTGATATACGCGGGGCAGGGTAAACGGCAAATTCAAGCTTGGATTTCTTTCCGTAGTCGACACTAAGACGTTCCATCAACAACGAACCGAAGCCCGAGCCTGTCCCCCCGCCGAAGCTGTGGAACAGAAGAAACCCCTGTAGCCCCTCACACTGATCTGAGAGTTTGCGGATACGGTCCAACACCTGGTCGATATATTCCTTGCCGACGGTGTAATGGCCTCGGGCGTAGTTGTTAGCCGCGTCCTCCTTCCCCGTGATCAGCTGCTGGGGATGGAACAGCTGACGGAACGTTCCGGTACGGACCTCGTCTGTTAGTAAACAAACAGTGCATGTCAAGGTACGCTTAACAAACCGTGCATGTCAAAGTACGCTAACAAACAGTGCATGTCAAAGTACGCTAAACAAACAGCTTCAACGTACGCTTAACAAACAGTGCATGTCAAAGTACGCTGAACAAACAATACATGTCAAAGTACGCTGGACATACAGTGCATGTCAAAGTACGCAAAACAAATAGTGCATGTCAAGGTACGCTAAACAAATAGTGCATGTCAAGGTACGCTAAACAAACAGTGCATGTCAAGGTACGCTAAACAAACAGTGCATGTCAAAGTACGCTTAACAAATAGTGCATGTCAAGGTACGCTAAACAAACAGTGCATGTCATGGTACGCTAAAAAAATAGTGCATGTCAAGGTACTCATAACAAACAGAGCATGTCAAGGTACGCTAAACAAACCGTGCATGTCAAGGTACGCTAAACAAACAGTGCATGTCAAGGTACGCTAAACAAACAGTGTCAACGTACGCTAAACAAACAGTGCATGTATAGGTACGCTAAACAAACAGTGCATGTCAACGTACGCTAAACAAACAGTGCATGTCAAGGTTAGCAAGCGTGAAATAAACAAACAATATATGTCAAGGTTTGCAAGCGTGAAATAAGCATACCATTGATTCTAGTGTAAGGTAACGACAAATATTCAGATAAGGATCTAGTTTACTTTTTTATGAATTTCATCACATTGTGTTTAATATTGCGTCCATAAATTATGGTATTTACTTATTCAGATACCAGAAATGAAGTTAATCATTGAATTTGGTTGGTTTGCCATTTTATTTCTATGGGAAATGCTGCTATGAAGAATACACTGAATGTAAGGGCAACCAATGGTTCCAAGGAAACATGACCGGGTCGCAATACTCCGTCATTGTTTGAGGTTGACAATTAAAAGTTTGACACGAATATTGAGCGGGTCACGTGTTTATTACTTGACTTACCGACTACGGTGGGCTCGAGGTCGGTGAAGATAGCCCGAGGTACATGTTTGCCAGCTCCGGTCTCACTGAAGAATGTATTGAAGGAGTCGTCTCCCCCTCCGATTGTCTTGTCTGAGGGCATCTGACCATCAGGCTGAATGCCATGCTCCAAACAGTACAACTCCCAGCAGGCATTGCCCATCTGGACACCGGCTTGACCAACATGGATACTGATACATTCCCGCTACATAAAAGAAAACAAATTCAATGATTTTTTTATTCAAATTATATGCATTTACAGCCAGTTTGTAGGCGGAGGCCAGTCACACAGAAAGTAAATCTATTTTCAAACAAAAATATGAATGGTGTCCTATGTTAAAACATATGTAAATTAAAACAGCTCACTTTGGGTAACCAAACATGAATTGCTTATCATTTCAAACAATTCTCAGTACATCATATACTGACTAACAGCGTTTATAATTTCAAATAAATTCTTATAACGCGGAAGAAAACATACCACCATTTTGAAGTTTATCCGAGTTTCTGAAATAAGTAACACTGAATACTGTCCTCATGTATGTTAACAAAGGGAAGGAGACGTGATAGGTATATGTCCAATCGATAGCAGACCTGTAACACCTGGCCAGGTTACAGCTTCATGTTACTTTCTACACTTGACATCTCATGCGTAGTTAACAATACAGGACTTAAGTTCAATGGTATCGACTAAGCGTGCTCATCTAGCAAGGGTAAGTCTGAATTAACAACTGAACTTGGTATTGGTGGCTATTTCCATGGATGCTTATATATGATAATTGATTCACATCGCTTTCTCCAACTCTAGTAACTATGGCTGTGTCTTATGACATTATGACTTATAGTTATAGTAAGGGACTAAGGCAGACCTAGTGTTATGTCTGTAGTTCCATAGTAAAACAGTGTTCGCTGAAAGTCACGTGACTTGATGTTTGTATAATACAACAGACTACTTAAGTGTTTCAAAACACCAACAACAGAATACTTAAGTGTTTCAAAACACAAACAACAGAATACTTAAGTGTTTCAAAACACCAACAACAGAATCCATTACTGAAATGCCAATAAACCATAATTCAAACTCCAAGTTGATAAAATTAGAGAAGGTGAGAAAAAGATTACATGGAGATTTTCGAAAAAGTACAAGAAAAGACCAGGGCCCGTATTCATGAAACCATTCTCATGCTCAAGCATGGATTCTGTGCTCAAACCATCTTTTTTGCAACTCGCTTAACTTATGTCACACGGTCACAAAGTTAAATGTTAACATTGGAAACAGCATCTGGCATTAAGTCTCTAAAAACGTTTCCAAATCATTGACACATTTAGATTGATGTATTAAGTTATAACAAGAACAAGAAATTAGACTTGAGCACAAAATCCATGCTTGAGCATGAGAACGGTTTCACGAATACGGGCCTGGTGTTCTGGAGAGGTAAGCCTCTTCATCTTCGTCGACGACATCCGCCGTGTAAATATTCAGTAAAATCCAATAACGTAATGTAACGTCTTCAAAGGCAGAACTCGGGTAATGACAAAAAACAAGGCACACGTTTTAGCACAATCAAAAACATCGAGCTTTATATCACACGAAGAAATAATGTCTCCCGATGTTATCATGACGTTATCATGACGGGGGCTGTACACCTTTCCCCTAGTCTTCGTCAACCTGCTTGTTTAGAAAACATGTGTTGTAGGTTTGTTTGTCAGCAGTCGACATCTATCAAAGAAGTCCTGACTCTTTAAGTAACAATACCGAATCAATTGTGACGTGAATACAACGTCGGTTGGGGGGGCATGGATGTTGATAACAGGAAAGAGAAAGTTCAAAATCGGAAATTCATCAAAGAAACCATAGTAAATAAACTTATGTTTGACAAAATGTTCGCACGTATTTTCGATTATCGGTTGCCTCTGCGCGCCAACAAGTTTGCAAATATCGCCGATTCTTTATGATATATAGCATACACAAACTATTAAAGCGATTTCCATCTAACAACATCCGGCCGTAGAGGGTCATGTTCAGCCGACCTTTGCATTAACCAATCAGATGAGAGCTTACGCATTTCTGTAAGTGATGATGTAATGATTTCGGAACACACTTGCTATAATAAAAGACCGAGAGGTGTCAAATGAGCATCGAAAATGGCGGCGCCCACGACACCACGCCGTGTCTAATTCATGGCAACGTTTGTACAATTTGTGGATTTTGCTTTGAAATAATAGAGACTTCCTCTTCTGGTGATGTTGTCGTTAAAAAGTTTAACAACTTGAAACTAAAATTAACCAATGACAGGCTTCGCAATATTCAAACTTTCACTGGACCAGACGAAAAAAAAGTGGATTTTGGGCTACGAGATGTCTGCATTAAATGCTACAGGTCCTGCTTTCTGATTGGTTGAAAGAAAGAGTTATGTCGCGTTTTGATTGGCTTGTTATAAATACGATAATGCATTCATGTTGACCTCTGACGTGACCCTCTATGGGATGTTGTTAAATCTTCAACGCGACATATCAGTAAACGGGAGCGATGTGAAGATATAATTTTAATTAGATTGAGTATAGACTTACATAACTAAATATATATACAGTATCTACTAACACTACTAAATAAATCTACTGTATAGACTAACATAACTAAATATATCTACTGTAAGTACTTACACTACTACATATGTATAAACACTACTAAATCTATC